GCGCAGCTGCACGATCGCGAGAGAATAATCGCGATTAGATTGGAAGTTAGAACGCAACACGACACGTGAAGCTGATCACGACACGTGAAGCTGATGGCGACACGCGCCGCGCGTGCAAAGGCGGAATTAAACGCACGTAAGCCGCCAATGTCGCGGCAACGGGTCTAATTTTGTCGCGCAAGTTTATAGCAGGTCGCGCCAAACACCGCGCGGGCGGCTGATTCGCGAACGTACTTTCCTCGTGCTTGCCGCGTTTTTACCGCACCGCGCCTTATGAAATTATTATCGCCCGATTATCGCGGGCGTCCGTTGCGAGAAAGAAGTAACTCTCTAAAGGAATGAAGCGAGAACTGCAAAGTTCGCTCGATTAACGCTCGATCGGCGGTGCAGTCCGCTCGACGAGAGAGAGAGAGAGAGAGCTAAATGTCAAGGCGAGGGTAGGAACCGACGAGAGATTACGTGCGGTGCGCGCAAGAGACGAAAATTGCGAGCGCACGCGATTTTGAAATAATCATCTAAATGTGCCTAGTCTGCGCGAGCGCAGGGGATATTCCGCCGTGCGAGCCGCGTCGTAGACGGCCGGCTAGTCGGAGTGGCCGAGGTAAATGTCAAGTAGAACCCGAGCACAGCGCCGCATGCCGAGAGTTCGTTGCACCGTAATCGCGACTCGCCGGGCCGGCGGCGACACGCACCGTATACACATTAATCAGCAGTTTTGCGATTGCACAGCGCAGGCAGGTGAGAATCGCGGCGGAAATCTTGCCTCTCGCACTCGAGATTCACGCGTACGAGCGCGCGCGCGCCGCGCCGCGCCGCGCCGCGCCGCCTGTGGAGGCAAATTCCACGTGTGACGCGTGCATCCCGGAGGATGAAATTTTTATGCTACTTAATTATGAGCGAGGATTAGAGAAACCGCTCGGCGCGCCTACGCGCCGCCGCCTTTCGTCTCTCTTGACGCGTAATCTCGAAGGACATCGAGCGATTCCGCGCGTAGCAGCGCAGCAGCGACTTAAAAGTCGGATCTCGTGCCTGCGGGAAAGCGAGTTTTATCGTCGTCGAACGTTTCGCTGACCGAGTAACGTCAGAAGTAACCGGAGGCGGTATCTGGGTCACCCTAGGTCACGCGGAGGACGCGGAGCATCCGGCGGAATTGTACGCGGAGAAGAAACGAGGAGCAAGTGGAGCATGTTCGACCGTGTCCGACCGTCATCCGCCTTAATCCTTTCGGACTTTAAGCCATCAGTTTCTCGTCATGTCCTTTGTAATATTTTAACGGGGGCTTACGACTCCACTCGCTACGCTCGCAAGCCGCGCATCCGCTCAGCTTCTCGGCAATACTTGGCGCGTCATCTTCGACCGTGGCGAATTCACAAGCGCCGAGCTTTCGGCAAGGCTACTCGACCGCTTGTCGTTTTGTGAATAAACTTTGCAACCCATGCGCCCTCGGTTTGCGATTATTTCGATATATCTGTCGGGGAAAGGTTCCTTCAACATTTTCTGCCGCGACGCAATTAACGCAAAGTGAAACACGCTTCGGTGAAATCGCCTCGCGCGCGAGAAGGGTCACGCAATTTCCGCGAGCGAGTTCGCGCGCTCCGAGGTCGATTCGCGGAATATTCCTTCACCTGGCCCGCCGATCCGCCGCGAATATCGAGCAAGTTCGACACGTAAGAAACGTGCCGATAAATCACGAGAGCGAACGAGCGGGTGGGCAGGAGGGAAGAAAGAACGGAAGGACGAAAGAGAAAAGGAAAGATAGGAAAAAAGAAAAAGCGAAAGGTCATGCACATGAGACAGAGGCCGGGAGGGAAGAAGAAGGTTACGGAAAATACAATACGACATTTGTCCATCGTCTCTCGCTGGAACGAAATAATATTACCGCACCGTGCGCGCGATGGATAGATACGCCGTCGTGTTGAGATCGGACGATGGGGACGGTGGATGATTTATCGCGCGACGTAAATTACGTACAACGTTGAAATGACTTTCCCAGCGTGCGCTGGAGTTCTGGAGCAGCTACCTTCGTGTTAGCGGTGTTCCTCGCGCTTCGAGCGGTTAAAAACTGGGTTTTTAGCGAGCGCTCGATCGCGGAATCGCCCGCGTTTTCCCGCGAACTTGCGACACGACGCGGAGGGAACTCGTTAATCAAGCGAGCATTTTCACCGAACAGATATCCACGCGCGTTCGCTCGGATAATGTCATTTTAACGAAATGTCATTGATATTTAGCCAAGTGGAATTCGGGACACGTGCACATGTCGAGCGCGCGCGCGCATCCCTCAAATCGGGGTTGTTGCACTTTGGACGCGAGCGCGACGTAGCCCGGTGTACACGGTGTAAGTTTCTGGACCGAATATTTTCACATGGATGCACTCGCACTCTTCCGCGCGATAGCGCGATAGGAGGACTGCGTTAAAGTTGCGCGAGTGCACCTCAAGTGCGCGAAGTAACTAAATTCCCGACGTGAGGTGCGAGTCGATTCGATACGAAGGGGAAATAAGAATACGTCGAATTCGCGCGCTCGCACGAATCGGAACTGCACTTACCGAGTCGAGTCTTTTTACGTTCTTTTTCTTTTTTTCACGCGGGAACGTGCGGCCGAAAGCCTCGGGGAACGCTGTCGCGGAATGCGACCGTGCTCTTCTTGTCATCGACAGTCGTTGTTTACCGAACAGGAGGAGTGGGAGAGAGAGACAGAGAGAGAGAGAGAGAGAGAGAGAGAAGGCAAACAACAGCGAATTTCAGTGAGCGCTGCGACGAGTCGATCGATGAGTCGCGATCGCTAATTAACACCGCGGACGGCTTGAAATTTCGCGCGCGCAGTCTTGCACTTTGCAACCGCCGCGCGTCTGTGCATAATTCATATTTAACGATCCTCTCCGTGGCGACGCAACGAATTCAAATTCAATACACATCGATCGTTCCGCACGGTGAATTTCTTGCGCGATCGTGCGTCGAGTATTCGCTGCGGATTTCGACCGGAGTCCCGGTGCGGGTTCCTCGCACCGTAATTTGCTATACGTGAGAATTTTCCTCAAGAACAAAGAGAGAGGGAGACAGAAGAAAAAGGAACAAGGAAATCTCACGATACAGCGGGAATACTTTCGGCGTTCCCGAATCCCCATCGAGAATCACCCCAGCGAAAAAGAACGCTAAACCTCACGTTGCGTACGGAACGTCGTATAAAAAAAGATACAGCGCGCGACATCCGATCGAGGAGCATCCAATCGCAAAGGAAAGAAGGCCCCGGTGCCGGTGGAAAAACAAAAATTCCATCATGGTGAAATCTCAATTTAACGGGACGAGGAGAAGGGTGCGGGGGCATTATCTCGCACATTTTCCCGTAATTCAAAGTACGCGATCGTCAGCACAACACGACCAGCCGGTCCAGCCCGGCGCGGCGCGGCGGCGGCGACGCAATAACGGCCGCGCGCATGTCGAATTAATTAACCTAATTCCCGAATTAGTTATACACGAGCGCGAGGGAGAGAGAGGCTATCGTTTTGATCGCGTGCAATTACGGCATCGCGTATATAGCCGTCGGCGTATCCGGGCGCTAGCTCTGGTCGGCTGGCGCGGCGGGCCGGTCACCCGGCGGGCGCAATTAGACGAGCGCGAGGGCGATCCGCGGACGTGCACTCTCTCTTCAGCGATCCGCGGCTCGCGACACCAACCGGTCCCGGCGTTATCGACCGGCCGGCCGGCCGGGGCGCAACGGCAGAAGGGCGAAAAAACAGGAAAGAAAAAAGAAAACATCGCGCGTCCCCGCGCGCGCGAGAACCGCGAGAGCCGGCGGCCGGGTAGATCAATAAGCGCCTTTCGGTTTTTCGCACGAGTCCAAGGACGCGCGTCCCCCGACGCGGGAAACACCCCCTCGCTCGCCTTTTCCGCCGTCCGGGGCAAGAGCACACTTTTCGTACCTCCGTCCGTCATCCGCCGCGCGCGCGCGCGCGCGCGATTCCCGACGCGATCGGCTGTGCGCGACGCACCGCACTGGCCGGCGCCGCGACCGAGTCGAGCACCGAGGCCGCCCCCGTCGTCTCCCTCGTGGCTGTCCGGCACGACCGCCGACGAGCTGCAAAGTCGCGGCCGAACTGCTTTGTCCACGTGTTGCGGCCGACGGGCACGCGGTAATACAGACCTCGATCTTACCACGTGACAGACCGTGGCGAAATCGCGCGGCCTCCCCGAGAATCCCAACGCCGCTGCCGCTTACCGTGTCTCTGCCCTCTGATGGAGGGCGCGTCAAGCTGCACCAGGGGGTAGTTCGGAGCGTTAGCGTTTCTCGGTTATTCCGTTTCCACCAACGACGTCGCGGTTGGACCTTGACCTGAGGTCTTTAGGTCAGACCAAAGTGTCAGATAGATGTTCGTACAAACGGCCAAACCAGATTAGCACCGGTCAGAGTGGACCTCAATGGGATTCACGGGGGACGCCAGTCCTGATCTTTGGGCAGTCTCGACGATCGTTGCAATCGCGACTTCACTCGAAGAGACACTCGACACACATCGGCTGCGCGTAAGTCCCCCGCGAGCTCTTCGTCGGACGATTACGGCACTCGGTAACGTGGAAGGTCTGTCGCCCGGCCGTTACCAACCGCACGAGAGAGGCTTGCTTCTATCGATTTCGCGGTAAGGGTGAGTATCTTCAGGGGGGAAACCGTAGGTGGCGAGCATTTCGTGCTCATGAGCGCATGCGCCGGTCGGTCGCTCCTCGCGAGTAACGGAGGTTGCGAATCTCAACGGCGAGTTTCAACCCTTACTTGAGCACGAGTCAAGAGCGACAGACGGGCTCGGCCGTCGGGATTACTGCGTGAAGCAGAGGCTTCGAGTAGTCCCTCAGATAACATACGTCGAGCGACCTCGGTCTCTACTCCCCCCCCACCCTGTTCGCTCTTTCTTTTCCCTCCCGATACATGTCGTTGAACTACACGGCGAACGTCGCGCGCTGCACACGCATCCGTATATATGCGTATATATGCTGGGAACATTGAACACTTACCTTGTTGAGCGCCTCGTGGCCGATGTGCTGGGTGCCGTCGGGGTGGAGGATGCGGTCGACCGAGTTCGGTCTGGGGACTCCATCCAGCTGTGCCGCTTCTTTTAGCTGAGGTGGCGACGGCGGCGGTGGCAGCTGTTCCTCCGCTCCTGCGTTATCATATCTCTTCTCATATGTCTTCTGCAACAGAGAAACGATCCCATAATTGTTATCGCGCGCATTGTTGCCGGTCGATTCGCGGCGCAAGTCGCGGAAGCGGAAACGCGCCACGATAAGCGAGTCAAAGCGCGAATCACGCGTCTATCTCATTTTGGACGCGTTATCGCGTGACGTTGAAAAATCCGCCGACAGAAAAATAGGAAGAAAGAGAGAGAGAGAGAGAGAGAGAGAGAGAGAGAGAGAGCTCTCTCGCGCTCGCGCCTCTCGTCGATCTTACCCAACACTGATTCTCCAAAACTTCCAAATCTTTCCTCCCTTTCCTGAACGCAAAATCCTTCGCTCCTCGCTGCTGCGGTCTAATCCCGTCTTACGGTGTTTGCTGGGACTTACGTGATTCCAACAGCAGCAGCGGCGGCGGCGGCGGCGGTAACATCCGCAAATACTCCCGCCGGCGTTTTCGGTATTACGCGAAATCGCATTATTAGCGGCGCGCTCGTTGGGCGTACCCGGCGAGCTGGTGTGTCGCTTCGCTCTCCTGCGCCTTCGTATTTTCGCTGGCACGGCGAACATGTAATCACTGAATCGACGTCTTGAGTGACGTACAATCGACACCCAGTCTATCATCGTGTAAAACAGCCCGCGGGGAGGTGGAGGCGGGGGTGTAGGAGAGATGCGATATATTTGGAGGATATATATTTTTCAGTGCGCGCTGTCTGTCAAAGTCAACTCGATGCTCGTTGCGCAAATTTCAACCGAGCTAGCGCTGCTATATTATATTAAGGGACAAGAGGAGAGACGAGAGAGAGAGAGAGAGAGAGAGAGAGAGAGAGGGGAGAGGAGGGCAGAAGACGAATAGATACGTGTGAAAGATTTGCTATGTGCGCTTCGTTAATTCTGAAAACCATCGTCGAAATTTTTAGTATAAAATCATACTCTCGAGAGCGTTATCCAATGCATATTTAAATATTTCATTTCCATGCGTTCGAATATAATTTTCCCCCGCGTGCTCGTCACCCCGCGGGGTTTACAGTTACGTATTCGCACCGAAAATGTGTCGAAAATAATATGTTTCTGCTCGTATTATTCATAATTATAGCTTTTCTCTGCCGCCTCTCTCCCCTCCTACTCTCTCTCTCTCTCTCTCTCTCTCTCTCTCTCTCTCTCTCTCCCCTGCGCATGAAAACGCCATAACCAACTCTCTCCGCCAACGTGACAATTGCTGCGGAAGATTTAGTTTATTCTCACCCCGACGCGAATCCTCAATTTGCACATGATTTAATAATTCCCTCGAGTCTCTCCAATCGCGCGAGCCGAACTTTTCAATTAACGTTCGAACTTTCACGCGGGTTTCGAGCTTTGAGGTGAATTTTCGCGATTCGTTTAAGCCGCCAGTCGCTTTTTGTCGGGGCTGCTCGAACGAGCGCTTTCAATCGAGTATCGCGGGAGCGCCCATCGTCGGCGATCGATACCAATGGAAAAGAGAAACGTCGGGGATATATGTCACGAATCAAATCTTCCTTTTCACTCGCCTCTCGTGTCTCTCCCCGAAAGCGTGTCATAAGTATCGGACTGTCTCTATATTCCACCCTTACTCCTCCGCGAGCGCGCGTGCGCCCTTTATTCCCCCGACAATCGCGCCAGCCATTATTGTCGAGTGTATTCTACGAACACGAATAAAGGCGCTGACAATGACGTTGCAATCGAATGCGCATTAATGCGCCGAGAATCGCGCCGCTCTGCGGTATCGAGAATAATATTCAAAGTGCCGTGTGTCTAGCGAAGCGCATTGATCGCATTAATCGGTTCATTAGCCGCCCCCTCGATAATCTCCGGCGATTGTACGAAAACTATTTCCGTCTCGTCTTTTTTTATTCCTCTCTGCCTCCCGTCAACGTGTGAGCGATGTCTCGAACGAGAAGCGTGGAATCACCTGTCAAGCGATCGTTCCAATTTTTCCGCGAGTAAATCGCCGAGATTCAGAAAGGAAAATATCTCTTGTGGCGCAAGTATTTTTCGCGTCAGCTCCGTTGCGTTTAATAATCCGCGATTCGGCACGGGGATGCTTCGAGCTTAACGGAAGTATCTCATACGCCGCACACGCCGTTCCGACGGCGGAAAAGCTCGCGCAAAAATAGATAATGTTTGGGCGCACCGCATGGCGCCGCAGCGGTGATTCGCGGTGCGGGAGAAGGAAAATTTCAAAGTGATTGAAGCGCTCGCGGGCATCCAAGAATACCAAATACCGGGCGCGTATTGTTTATGGAAAGACCGCAGGCGCGCGCGTGCGAGAGAGAGAGAGAGAGAGAGACGAAGTGGTTAGACTTCCGAGTTTCGAGAGCGAACTCCATCAAACAGTCTATTCCGGAAACGCACCTTTGACGTAACCCTCGGCGCTACATCACCTCGTCGCAATTTATTACCGTGATATGTCGCAAAGTGACGACTTCGCAATATCGCGGTTCTTTCAAAGGAGCGTTTGACAAACGCGCGGGCAAAGCCGATCCTTCGTTTTGCCGATGAAGGTTCTCGAGACGACGGATATCGTTGCTCGAGCTCGCTCGATCGAAAATCGCGGATTTCTTATTTCTTCTCGTTCTTTCTCTCCTTTCCCCTCGCGATAGTGCTCCCTCGGAGGAGCTCCGGCTTTATCAATTTTTTCCACGCCACTTCGCGAAATCGCGCTAAATCGCGCTAAATCGTGCGAGTTGAGGAACGAGGAAAATACGATCGCACCGGACGGATCCGTAACTCAGATCATGTCAATTAATAGAATCCTCCTTCTCGTTTCTTTTCTCCGTCCGCTTCGGAGACGCTGGAGACTCCGGCGAGCTCTCAGAGCGCGGAAATTGTTCCGCACGCGCTGTATTCCCAGGCAAAATTAATGTAAATACGGACACTTTGAAGTCGACGTCGTTAATTTTAACTTCATAAATTTTAAACATGCTTTCAGTCTCGCAAAGTTGCCGGGAAACGGCTTTAACCTTATAAATTTGTAGGAAACGCACACCACGCACACACGCAGTCTCACTATTTAAATTCACATTGGCCCATCGTGCCTGCCTTATGTAGATCCTCTTCGCAAGCTTCACCGCGCGCACTTTCCTCGACGTTCCGTCCAAAGAAACCCAGGAGTTCCCTCCTGCGCGAGTGATTTCCCGGGGAATCCACGACATCGGTGGTCGCGCGGTGGATCGCAATTAACGGCGTTCTGACGAACTCGCTTATATTCGGTCACGAACGAGCCTCGGAGTGCTTTTCGGGCACGCTCGACTTTCGAGTTCGATACAGAGGGAGGACGTCGGCGTCGGTACTGCTGTGAAAACGACTCGCGACGTTGGTATCAATAGCGTTTCGACGCTCCGGATGAAGGCGTCGCCGTCTAATTTCGACTTTTCGGCGTTTCCGCGATCGAGCGCCCCGGCGGCTGACGTTTTTGTGGTCTCTCCCCTCTCTCTCTCTCTCTCTCTCTCTCTCTCTCTCTCTCTCATTCTCCCCCTGACTGAGCCATCTTTTTTGTTTCTCGTCACCCCCAAGCGTGTCCGAAATTAAGAGCTCCGGTGATTAATCGCCGTCACACGCTGTTTATGCATTCGATGAGAGTCGCGACATTTATTTCGCGGGGCTCGCACAACCGTCATTAATTCCGGTCTCTGCAACGCGGCGCGCGAGGTCGCGTTAAACGTTATATTCTCAGACAATGGCGACGCTATAGCGATTCGAGATCGACGCTACCCGTAGAGACTGTGTCCGCGCGCGGTGTGCAAATTTACGCGCCGGTCTGATTAAACTCTCGCTTGATTAAACTTCACGCCGCGAGCAGTTTCTAGAAATCGCGTTTTGGACGGGCGATAATTTGTAGCCTCGTGGTTACACCGCGGTCGCTGTGCGCGCTCTCTCGTGCGCGCCGAGTTTTCGTTCCCGGAGAAGACGCGGTTCCCCCCCCCCGCTCCCTCTCCCCCGCGGTGCAGCCGCACGCGTTCCCCGATCGAATCGCCCGTGAAATTTTACAAATTAGTTTCGCCTAGCCCGTGACATTTTGCGACCTCGCTCGGTCGCGACGGACGGCCGACCCACACCTGTGTGACGTCGATGCGCACGTGTGTTCATTCTTTGTCGCTACAATACTCCCTGATTAATTCCTAACGGTTGGGCGAAAACATCGAGCGATGGATATGGAGAATGGCCGTATGGTGGGCGCGTATCCACGGCTTGATTAAGCGGCGATCAATAATAAAATTCCGTTAATGGATATTTGTCAGGAGTCGTAAAAGCGAACGCTTCGATCGCGATGGATTAAACAAAACCAAAGCGGCGCGCCATTCTCGGCAGTTAATCAGGTTCCCCAAATCAAACAGAATGCATTATATACCGCGACCGCTTCGGGGGCAGTCCGCCGCACCCACTGCTTTCGGGTTCAAGCAGCCTCGCCTCGCGCGGCTTATTCGTAAACAAGCGGGGCCGCAAAACGGCATCAGTAATGGCCGGTATGCTGATTTTCGTTACAATTTACAAATTGAATCGTCGCCACCGCCGCCGTCACGTCGCCGGCGTATATGCGATACTACAACGATGACAACGACGACAACGACGGTTTCGCCGCCAGCAACTTACTCCTTCGATTAAACCCCCGGCCTCGCGGCGGCGAATCACGCGCGATTCCCGACCTCCGAACAACCCCCGGGGAATATTCACCCCCCGACGGTGGCGGCTGTTTCATTTATCATTCGACCGCGATCGCGTCGCGGCCGCCTCGCTATCGAGACTTGGACGAGTTACTCTCACGGGCGCAACAATACGCGAAATAGCCTCGTGCAGGTTAATTAACCGTCATGCGCAGGTCTGCGCGCGCGCGGGTCTTTTCACGTGAGCTTCATGGCCGTTTCATTCGGCGAATCGAATGTCCATTACGAGCACAATGCCGCGGCACAATGCCGCGGCCCCGCGGCTTCGAGGAACCGCGCTCCGAGAACTCGATGGGAAGAACGTGAGGAGATAATCGAGGAGTACGGATCGTGTCTTGAAACGAAGCGAAGAATTGTGCGCGCGCCTCGGCGGGCCTCGCCATAACGACGCGCCATAGCGAGAGAGAGAGAGAGAGAGAGAGAGAGAGAGAGAGAGAGAGAGAGAGAGAGAACGAGGGCCGAGGACCAGCCGGGAAATTACAATCTGCGCTTGACGTCGAGCGAAATTCATTTCCGCGCTTACAGTCAGCCGCGCGCGTTTTCGGTAAAAAGCTCCGGCGAACGAATATACTCTCTTCGGCCTGAAGCGTTGAGCTAAGCTCCTTTGAAGCGTCGCGACGCGGAGAAGCTGAGGGAGAACGCAACCCTGTGTGCTCGTATTGATTGCGAGAGCGAAAGAAGAGAAGAAAAACAGCGGTCACGCTCTCGGACCGGCGCGCCGGTCCTGATTCGTTAGCTATTAACCAACAATAGTTCAGCGTGATCCTGCGAAATGTTGCGTTAATCGTGATGCGGATAGTAAGACGAACAGGGAGAAAACAGAAAATCTAATCACCCCATCTCCACAGAGGTAACTGGAACGTTACTTCGAGCATACCACGCATTTGCGCCATGCAATCGCGTAGAACACTGGTAACGGCGGCACTGTGTCAACAAATTTTGATGAACTTTTCATTCTTGTCTCTAGTAATATCTATAAAAATAATATTTGGACGGGAGAGAGCGCCCGATGAAAATCATTTCGCACCGGTTTGAAAATTGTTGACGGTGGTATCGGTAAAAACCCAATTCATCGAGTATTCATTCGTCGGGATTTACATACGTACGCACGCGGCGGCGCGCATATCCATCTCGCTTTTTCACGCGGGACGAGAGCGAGAGACGCGCGATAGATATGCATTAAATCGACATTTTTATTTTCATGCTGAAAACGATTCGTTCGGCCGGCTGCTACTCGAACGGACAAGTACGGTAACGGGAACTACGACACGGCGGATAGATTTAAGTGGTAATAAAAATTCGGCCGCTGTGCCGCCACCGCCACCGCCACCGCCGCCGACATACAGGATTTTTCAGCAGCGCGCGTTTCCACGCGGCGCACATGTAAATGTACGCGAGCTTACACTCGATTGCACGACGGAAATAAAATTTTTCGAACCGGCCATTTCGTGTTATTCCCGAGTGCGTCGCGAGTTGCTATTATATTTCGATATTTATATAAAACACCACACGCGTTATTGTTCCGCTTCGAAATTCAAGCAGCTGGAACTTCCGTTATAATGACGCGTTACACACACATTCGTGCGTCGTTTTAGCCAGCGGCTGAGTGTGAGAGAGAACAAGAGAGAGAGAGAGAGAGAGAGAGAGAGAGAGAGAGAGAGATGACACGTTTGCAAGGAATTTCCCTTTTAGGGAACATATCTCTTTCGAACGATTAGGGTTGATGGCAAATGCTCGTGAACAGCTATCGAACTTAAGATCCTTATGAGATTTTAAAAGGGACCTTTGAAGCTAGGCACATCGAGATTCATCAGATTCGATGCGTAGACTCGCGTTCCACAAGACTAGTTACGCGAGAGATCATACAAAGTGATCCCGTCGTCTATCTCGGCTAGTTTATTCGCCGACAACGTGAAATCTGGCCTGCGCGAGTCGAGAATTAGTCGGAGATGTGACTAGAATGGAAATGACTACGTGAGGAAGAGACTTTGCTGATAAAGTGCCATTCTGATTAAACCTGACAATGCATAAATCATACGCACCGTCGATCCGTACTCCCTTCATTATATGATACATTATTTTCCGATCACATGAAAAAAATTCAATGTTTGTGCCGATATTTCGCCAAGTGGAGAGCTGCGAGAGGATCGAGAGAAGGGGCTTGTTAGATTCAACAAAGTCTGAGAACACCAATCAATCGACCCGTCGACTTTGAGGCGCTCTCGCTCGCGAAGCGCGTTATCGACATGCGCGAGCAAACTCGCGAAAATAGTTTGAGGTTGTGAGCGAATTCTGAGCCGTGCCGCCACGAATCTTTCGAGAGTGAGCGAGCTGGTAAGCCAGGGATCTTCACCCAGGTGTACATTCAGCTACAGAGAACGGGCTTACCGTCGCGGACGTTCGCAGACGGACAATCATTACCAAGCCGCGCGTCGTTACCGGATCTCCAGCTTCCGCTGTACATTTTTTACTTACGCATGCACCGGTCGATGACGACACGTCATCTCCCTCCCCCTTGCTCCTCGCGTACTCTACGAGATGGACGGAGTCGTTGACGCCGGGTTCGCGATCGTTAATTAATTAAAACGGCCCTCAGACGTGGCCTCGAAGCGAAAAAACAACTCGCTTCGAGAGTGCGCACCGTGTTTCACACTTGGCTAATGTTAAAAACGTCGTTTCATTTTTTAATCCTGTTAAGGGTTTGCTGCGTTTATCTCCTTTTCGTACGTGATTTTAGCGAGGCGAGTTTTAGTTCGGGACGAGAAACGCAGAGAAAGGACTCGCGTTAGCCTGGCGCGTTTTCAAACAGCCGCAGTTTACACTTTCACAATTTGCACGTTTACGAACCTGAGTCTCGTCTACGGGGCCTGGAACATCGGGACTGGCCGACCTGCGGCTGTAAATGTTCGACAGAGTCTGGGTCAACGGCAAGGCGGAGGCTGGACCATCCTGAAACGATCACATCATCTGAAAAACATAGCGTCGTGTCTCGCCGACGTGGGAAACGCGCGTCGCCGAGTCGTTTCCGCTGCCGAATGGTTCTTTCGAACCTTCGAGCGACACGGTTCAATTTCTCGACCAATTTCTGCGAGCGAGAGAAAGAGAGTGACAGGTAGAAAAAGAGAGAGAGAGAGAGAGAGGCAACGTGCTTCTCTCATTCTCCAAGACAGATACGGAGAGCCGCGCGCGGAAGTGAGAGGTCGCGATCTCTGTCTGGAGAAATTAATAACGTGAAATCTCGCCGGTAGCTGACAGTGGAGCGTCATGAAGCGATGAAAAAACAAAGTGAGCTTACCGTGGATTCTGGCATCGAGCCGTTTACCAGCAGATATTTTTGCTCTAACAAGACCGCTCGGCCGAATTTCCGTGTTATAAAAGTCACGACGTAGAGCCACCCTACTCGAGCGTCAAACTCTTGACATCATAGGAGAGGACTTGGGAAAGAGAAAGAGGAGCTATCGGGTCTTCCTAACGCCGCGGGGGGGGGAGGGGGGAGGGGGCCGCCTCCGGTTGCTCGAATGTGGGATCGATCGCAATGGAACGCACGCGTCTCCTCGTAGATGAGGTAGCACGGCAGGAAATAAAGTTGCGAGATGCAAGGTCAATTACGCGGTCAGACCGGAGCGAGGCGGGCCGGGCCGAACGATGTCGGCAGGCAGCGCGTTGGCAGCGTGCTAAACGAGCCAAACGGAATTATTCATGGCGAACTTTCGATGCGCAGCTGCGTTTAACATCCGACGCGCCGCTTTATCTTCTCCGGTGCAAACGGGCAGGAGAGGTCTCCCCTTTATTAAATATGCATCGCGACTATCGTCCTCGGAATTCGTTTGTTCTTCCCCGGCTGGCGTCGTCGTCCGACACGTATCGACCCGGCGCGCGCGCCGCGCTCCCGACTCGCAACTGGCCGCATTTTTTATTTACAGCGGCCGCTGGGATAAAGAACGGCGCATTCCGCTTTAAAACACACGCGGGCGTGGGGTATACTTACAATTATTACACCGACGACGAGTACGCGCGAGGAAACGTCCGGCGGTTTATAGAGAGAGAGAGAGAGAGAGAGAGAGAGGTGGAATGAAAAGAGGGAATTTTTAATCATTCTCGTCGCCAGTTGAGCAATAATTAAGTGGATTGCTAATTAGCTAATTACATCGGCGGTGCACAAACAATCGCGCAAGTAGACACGGGCGGTCTCGTAAAGTTTAAGTAATGGAGTTCAAAGTTAGCGGACACGCGAGGTCGTGGGACTATTTTTAAGCTCCCGCCGATTGTTGAGTGGACTCGCGGATTTGTACACACACACACACACACACACACATACACCTGAGTAACTGAGAAAAGACGTTGCTCCGAAGGAACGAAGCGCCTTCGACGCGCGATATTTTTGGCATTAATAACGCCTTGTCCGAGCGCATCGCGAACGATATAAATAAAACTGCCGGACGTCTCGCGGAAATAGCGCGGCTTATATTCCCACCTAGCCTCCAATATAGAGCATATCAGATAAAATTGAAAAGTAACGCGTGCACTAATATTTTATGTCCCACGGGCGCGCTCTCATACGTTATAACGGAGGTTGCATATACACATGTACGTGCACATATGTATAAAACACCCCGAAGCGAGTAGTTTTACTTTTGCCGCGCGCGAGATGTACAATTTCGCAGCCGCGCGCGCGCGAGCCAACACGGGTATCCATTCCACCGCGTCAAACTCCGCGCAAACGTCGTGTGTACCCAAGAATATTTATCGAATATTTAAGATACGCCGTAACGCTCGCCCGTAATATTCGCGTCTCAGCTAGCCGGCGCGCGATACCGCTGAATATCAAATTAGACGCATCGCAATTCCTCGTGCCGTCAGCCAGATGTACACGGAGGGGAACATACGCAGCGCGCGCTTCCGTTAACGAGTTGCAAAAAGTAGCCGCGCGAAATTGCTTTCCCTCGGCGGCGGCCGCCGTACATTCCCGTGCGCGAGAACGCGCGTATTTTCGTTGTAATAAATTTTTTTTTCGCAGATTACCGCGATTACATCCCGGATGTTGCCTTGCATACCGGATTAATATGTCGTTGTCGGATAATGGGCTCGCGCGGAGCCAGCCAGTCCGGTTCCGCGGCACCCTCGAAAGCGCTCAACATTCGGATCGCCCCGTGGAAAGGAATTCGCGGAGATTAATCCGCGCACGCGCGCGCGCGAGTTATAATGTACGCAAACGATAATGGCGGATGAGTGCGTTCTCTCGATTATACCCGTCGGCTATTGCGTCCCGATTTTATGATCGTCGCAATATGCACCGTGCCGATAATAGAGAATAATCCACCAGCCGCGCGCGCGTTCCACGGCTGAGCGACTGAAGCCGAATGGTATCATACCCGGACCGGCCGATTCGATGAAAATCTATGCCGATACCGTCGATCATTATCGCGTCGCGCGCGTTCCGGAAACTACCGCGTCGCTGTCGCTAAAAGCCAACCGTCCGGTTGGCGCACAATAACAGCCTGCAGCCGAATATTCCAGGGGTTCGCGAGCCATTCCCCCCGCTGACGCAGTAAATCCCGGCATCGTGCGCGTACCTCGCGGTCCATTCGTCATATTTAATGCGTCGTTTTTAAACCGGCGAGAAAAAGGGCGCGAAAACCGTGCGGTTTTTCCGAGCGGAACGGCCAACCGAACGTCGGCCGACGCGCTGATACTCGCGAATATTTCCTCCCCCTTTTGTCTCTCTCTCTCTCTCTCTCTCTCTCTCTCTCTCTCTCTCTCTCTCTCTCTCTCTGTCTGTCTCTGTCGAAAATATTTACATGTTTATGGCACGTTCTCTTCCTCCTCCGCGTTTACCACTTATCGTCACGGTAGCATCGTAACAAAGTGTTTCATCAGGCGCGACGATTTCTTACCGCGACGCACATGATACACCGTCTTGCTATTGTATTAAATGCGTATCGCGGATGTGAGAATTTCACAAGGATTCCACCTTACGCGCCTTAGCGTTCGGCTTGCTCATGTACGCGGCGAACGCGTACGTCGTAACGACGTAACACACGTACACATCACATATCTGACCATGACGTGGCGCGTAACCGCTGGCGCGCCTCGACATGTCAAGTTACGTACAGGCGACAACTGCGTGACAACAGCTGATGCGAAGCAACGGAGTGCATTTACGAGGCATCACGGGGATTATACCGACGCCCTTCGGCTACATGAGAGAGAAGGAGATTAAGTGTGTGTGTGTGTGTATATTAAATATATATTTATATATGTAACTCACACTCGCATCACACTCTGCATCACACTCGCCAAATATTTCACATCTGACTCGTCTCACGCGTCGGAAGAATGCATTGGCCACGTTTGACGTTTGACGTTTGACGCAAATTTAGCATAATTGGTGGAGCCATATGTGAAAATTTGACGCTCGCGAGTTATTGGACTTGGTCGAGCGGACTATAATTAAGTGGCATAAATTAAAAGCCACTGTATTAGATTCGGCTAGCCGCAGTGCAGCAGTTATGAACTGTCATAAATTAATTAGCGCTATATAAATAAATAGAGTAATTGATCGTAACAAGGGCGAAAGCATCGTGTAGCATAGCACAGCATAGCGTCGCGTCGTCGCATCGCATCGTCGCTCGCAGTATTGTTGCCAGACCACGACTTGTTTGTGCATTTATTAATTCACACCGCTTCCGCGTTATTAATACAAACAGCCGGCCCGTCAACAAATTTTCACCGCGATAATAATTACGCGAACGGCGTATCCGTTTCGCGCGAGGTGCTGGCGCGCGCGCTCTCGTATCCTCCCGCAGAATCAATGAAACAGTTTATTATTATTTAAACTTTATTAATTTTAGCGAATAAAACATTGAAGTAATTTTTTATTGAGCCCGCGCCGCGGGCGTATCCCTCTTTAATTTTGCACGTGAAATTAACGATATATCCGTCGAAGCCTCTCGAGTTATTTTAATTTGGCAGCAACGAAACCGGAAAATATAAAAAATTCTATTTTCGCGTAACGATTAAATATGTAAGCTCTGGAATATTTCGAAATATCTACGGAGCATTTCCGATTTTTCCCGTATTTTAACTAGCTGTTTCCAGCGAACCGCCGCCACCACCACCGCGGTCGCGATTTTTCGAACTAGGGAAAGAAGAAATAAAGAAAAAAAAGAGCCAAGCGCTGACAGCTCGCGATGTAACGTAGCCTGGACGTAGTAGTGACGGACAGAATTCGGCCGTAATAACGGCGGAGGCGGCGCATACACAGACTCGGTAAGAAAATCACGCTGCTCCGGAGGGCGACGCCGTCGGAGAAGCGGTTTGCGAAACTTTGAGAGCGAACCAATTAAAGTCTTTTCCGAGATAAGACCGTTCTCTCTCTCTCTCTCTCTCTCTTTGCTGTTCAGTTTCTCTCGCCAATTCGCGGAGAGGTATCGTCCGACGTGCACTGGGTCGTGTACAGTTGATCGTAACTACTGACGCCTCGCCGTCGACCCGATCGCCCCGGTCTGACCACAAAGCGACGGTATCCACTCGCCTTGCCAATACCACGCCAAAGACAGCCGCGAATCTCGCGCGACGGTGCTCGATGAGAACGTGACACTCGGACGTATCCGATAATCCGCCGGCGTTAATTTCGCATTGTCGTGACACCCAGAAGAGACCTTCCTCTTTCTCTTCTTTCACCGTCTCGTGTAGTCGGCGTTTCGAAGCATGAAGCTGTAACGCGTGCAAAGTTTTCACACGCGAGCGATGCGGTCGCGCGCGGCTGAATCTCCCGCACGTAAAGGGTGTCCCAAAATTCACGCAAGAATAGTAATTTTGATAGAAAACACAGGTTTATGATTAAAAATTGTAAATTTTTTATTGATTCATAAAGTATACAGTATAGGGTTATGTATGGAATAGCATATCGGGTAAATGGCCTCCACAGCTTTGCTGGCACATATGCA